AATCTATGTAATTAGTGTAATTAATGTAAATACTAAATAGGTACTTATTGGAAAAAAAATTGAGCATGACAATTATTGATACCTATTCTAAATTAAATATTATGTATATATTATGTTATATATAATATTATCCTAATTATATTAATTATATCAGTCAACACTAAATAGGTAGTCCAAAGAAAAAGAAATTATTTTAATTCGGTTGTTGTAGACATGTATATTTTATCATATGTGACCAACTTACAAATACTATTTGCACAATAAAATGTATTCATTTTACCTTAAATTATTGTATATCAAAGTTATTAATACTCACGACAATGGCACAATAATCAAAAAAGGTCCATTTACTTTTTTTCTTTCCATAAGATGAGTAATAAGACCTATTGTTTGAATGGTTTTTCCTAAACCCATCTCATCAGCAAGTATTCCATTTAAATTATTGTTAAATAAAGACACTAACCATTCAAGACCCTAAAATTAAACAAAGTCGAAGTAAACACAAAATTATTTTAATAATTATAAATTATTTTTTTTAAATTAATAACTAATGCTACCTTTATTTGATATTCTTTCAGATTACCATTAACTAAAATGGAAGCTTGTTCAGTAACACTTTCGTGAATAGTATGAGCAATACTGAAAAAAGGTATGAATAATGTGATTAGTATAAGTAATCATTAATTTTTTTTCATAGGTTCCAAACCTATAATAAGTGTGTTCTTCTGAAGCATTTTTATATTCATCATCTTCCATTTTGGTTTTTTTAATTGGTTCTTTCTCTTCAACAATTTCCTTTTCAAAACTATTCTTTTTGATTTTTTGGTTACTTGATTCATCATCTTCTTGTTCATCGTCATCCTCATCATCAGACTCCTCCATTACTTCCCAACCAGGATGAGCATCCAACCAATTGTTCAATTGTGATGCAAGTGGAGCTTCTTCTCCTTTAAACATTCTTCCTGTGATAAAAATTAAAAATTAAAGTTTTAAAATGTTAGACAATGCAAAAAATACATTTATATATATATATATATGTTTTACCTGTAGAAGGTTCATAAACTGAAACGTGCATGTCTGATTGCTGAGAACTTTCATCATGATCCTCAGGCCCGTCACTCTATTAATTATAAGTGAAATAAGTATGAGTTAGCATGATTCTTAAAGATTTGTGTAAGTATTAAATATAAGCTCACCTTCTTCTTTTTTCTTTGTTCTTCTTGTTGCTTACGCTTCTGTTCTAATTTATGTTCTTTGACCATCTCTGTAAGATTTCCAATATACTCATCAGTTTGAGAGAGAAGGAAAGCCAAACGTTTATCTTTCTTTTGATCAATTAATTTTCTATAAAAAAAAAAAAAAAAAAAAGGTTTGTAGATATAAAGTTATGCGTGAAACAAAAAAAAAGTAAGTTATACCTATAGCCTTCTTCATCTTCGGCCATTAATCTTCTCATACGCTCTTTTTCAATTCTTTCTTGTTCTTTCTTTTGTTCCCGTTCAGCATTGGCATGATAATTAAGAACAGCTTTATTGAGACGTCCAATTTTTGCAATATTATTTCTATGATACTCTTTCAGATCTTTGCAGTGTTGCAATATAGTGCTAAGATATTCTTGATGTTTTTGACGTTTCTTCCTTTCAGCTTCCAACTTTTGTTGTTTTTCTAATTTCTCTGTTGCTCTAGCTTCTCTTAGACCTTGTCGTTTTGTTCGTTTATATGCTTTTACATTAACAGCAGTTTCTAATGTAGTATCCCGACGAGTACAAGCGACTACTTCAGCTCTTAGTTGTCTTTGGAAATTCAATACTCTTAAAGCTCTAAGTTCAATTTCTACTTTGATTCTTAGATCATCACTCATAGTTGTTGGCAAATTACTCAATTGTTGTACACGATGAGCAATACGTGCAGCCAAACGGTTTTCACGTTCTTGTAATATTATTAAAGGATCCAAACCAACAGGTTTAGGGCATGATGTGGTTCTATTTTGTTTAACTGGAGGAGGAGGACCCTGTGCTTGTTGCTGTTGTTGAGAGGGCTGTTGTTGTTGTTGTTGTTGTTGTTGCTGCTGCTGTTGTGGTTGAGATTGTGGTTGCTGCTGCTGTTGCTGTTGTTGGGGTAGTGATTGTGGCGATGGTCCATTTGTTGTAGGCATGTTAGGCATATGTGGTGGTATACCAGCAATTTGTTGTGAACCAGCCATTTGTTGTGGACCAGCCATTTGTTGTGGACCACCCATCATAGGCTGAGGGACTCCTCCTATAGGTGGTTGACCAACAGGTTGAGGGGCATTTATTTGCTGTGGAGCTTGAGGTATTCCCGGAGCCATACTAGGAGGTTGTTGAGGTCCATTCATTGATACAGATGGAGGCTGGTTTGGTGGTGTACCTTGAGGGTGTTGGGCACTTGGAGGAGGTTGAATTTGTGTTTGTGTGGTTGAACCAGGCTGAGGCATTCGAACAGGAGATTGTGAAATAGGACCAGGGGGATTGGGCTGTCTTGGAGCATTTTGCATTGGCATTGGTAATCTCATAGGGCCTCCTGATGATGGCATTGGCATACTGTTTTCTACAATTTCTCCAGGTTCTAGTTGTCGATGGTGTGCTGAAGGTACTGGTGGATATCCTTGAGGTGAAGTTTTTCCTTGAACAGCCATAGCTAATTGTTGGGTTAAAGGTTGTTGTCGAGCCAATAGTCTGTATGCCATTATCTGAACTCTAAGCTGTTGCATTTGGGCAGGAGTTAAATTGTTTTGGGCTACTGGTCCATTTGGCCCATTAGGATTTGGGGGATTCTGTTGAGGCGAAGGGGGTTTATCTGGATGTTGAGGAGGATAATTTCCCTAAAGTAAATTATATTTTGAATTGAATTACAAATATACATTTTAAAATGGAGGGTTATTGAAAAGTGTAAATTAATATTTAATATTGATTAACTTACTTGTATTGAAGAAGGAGGTCTTTGGTTAGGGTCCATATTACCTTGTCTCGCCCTTAGTGCCAATAATTGAGAGTACCTAGGGTCTTCTTGCAATCCTTTTTCTTCCATTGAATCTATTGCCCTTTGCAATGCATTTAAATTTTCTTGAGGTGGTCCACTGGGCTATAAACAAATTATTAAATGTAAAATCAAGAAATATTTACTGGTATGTTACATATACTAAATAGATAGATAAACCAAACCTAAACATGCAATATATAAATAATAATAAATCCCCAGAAAATTATTTAGATTGGATCTCAGTAAGTAAATTATATATTAAAATATAAAACCACGATTTTTAAAATAATTTAAAATTGAAATACCTATTCACAATTACAATTTATATTAAAAATTGAATTTATTATTGTATAATAAAACTATGCTGTAGTGTAACAATCTATAGCCAATTTAATGTGATTCATTAATATTTTAGTAATAAATACTTTGTTGTAAGTTTTATAACATCAAATTTTAATACATTTATACAGTGTTTGGAAATATATAGTGAACAATAAGTGAACGTCGCTTGTTTTTTTGCAAATAGAATGTGAATAATGTTTATATTTTTAATGAATTTGATCGATTTTAAGATGTTCAATTTATTTATAATTTAATAAATATTATATGGATAAAATACATTAATTAATTATAATAATAATAATATTTTCATTTTTCCCATTATAATTCCTATAAGATTTGTTTGATTGCAAAATATATAAATTAAATACTTGAAATTCCAGTGTCCCGGATAGACATACAACAACAACAATATTATGATTCTATGAATTTTTAATAAACCTAATCGGTGTATCATAATAAGTACCCTAGTATTCGCTTAATTTTATCACATAAGGATATTCTTATCAAAATGCAACTTAAATAACTCAAATAAATAAATAATTCAGATACTTTATAAATTGTATATGCTCTGCAGTCTAAATTGTATTTTTATATTTTGGTATTTTATGAGTTTTTAATTTTTATATTGACTACAGGCTAATGATTCATAAAAAAAATAAATGAACAAGTAAGTTTTTTAAAAGAACGTGAACGCGTTCCTTTTTTAAGGAGTAAACGTGAACGAGTTAATTTTTTTAGTGAAAGTTCCGAACACTGTATTTATATTTATAATACAATTTTTTTTAAATATATTTCTCTAAGGTTGAGAAAAACATATTTAACCGGGTCTTTAACTAATAAGTACTTATAATCAATTTGCTTCTCTATAAAATATGCAATTAATTGCATGGAGGTAAGGTAAAATCTACTCTTATTCTAAAAATTACCTATTTACTGAATAAATATAGAATATTATGGTAATGGCATGTTTTGAATTACCAACTCAAAGTTTTTCCACCAAAAATGTAAAATAAAATTATGTATTCATTGATTTATTCATTAGATAACAACTAGACTTAAATGTTCAAACAATGAAATTTGTTTTATTTTTAATATGTATAAGGTATAGCCGTATAGGTAATAGGTATTATTCATTAGATAACAACTAGACTTAAAACAATGACATTTGTTTTATTTTTAATACGTATAAGGTATAGGTAAATACATTTTTAAATAAAGTGTAGTACTAAAATATTATAATTGAGATGTTAAAATATTTATTAATTAACACAATAAATATAATATAGTTGGAGAATAATAAATGTATCAATTCTAATGTAAACTACATTGAGTAAATAACACGTAAGAGTTATGACCCATCTTGTTCAATCTAAAGATTAAATATAAAAAATAATAATAAAATAACTAACTAGATAGTACAGACGTATCTATAGCATTATTTATTAGTATTTTTAAATTATCATTTTGGTCACACTTCAAAAGTTTTTTAATGTGTTATATAATTTTAAAAGATAAGAAATTATAATAATTTATTATGTGGTGTTGCGGACCACTTAGAGATAGTTGAAATTTTTTTTTTTTTTAATTTTCAAGTCTAATTATTTATGTGGCACATCAAATAAATTAAGCTATTAATTTCATTGAATCAATTTAAAACTATGGTTGACATGCATCAATATTATAGTCAGGCACTTAAAATTGTTTTGGAGGCAGGTGAAGTAAGTTTATTCAGATTTATTTTATAATGCCAAAAAGTAGGTATATTTTATCACCAAGCAATATTTTTTAGTTGTTGTTAAAAGGTTTTAAAAGCCCAAAAGAAATATCAACCAAAAAAAATGATAAGGACTTTGTAACACAATACGACAAACTTATTGAAAAGAAAATAATTGACAACATATTACAACTGTATCCAAATCATAAGTATTGAAAATTTGATCATTAAAAACATTAAATATTACTTATTAGTTATTATCAATACTTATAAAAATAACCGATTGTGTATAGATTCATTGCAGAGGAAAGTGCTGCAAGTAATATTTTGACGGAAGAACCTACATGGATACTTGATCCGATTGATGGAACAACTAATTTTATACAAGGATTTCCATTTTGTTGTATTTCATTAGCATTGGTAGTAGAAAAAGATATAATAATTGGAATAGTTTATAATCCAATAATAAATCAATTATTTACTGCTAAAAAAGGGGAAGGTGCATATTTGTATAATGAAAAAATACAAGTGTCAAGTACTGAAGGTAATTAAAACAAAGCAGACATTTTGTTTTAAACTATAATTATATTATAAGCTTATACTATAATAGGTGGAGTAATAGAAACAAATAAAAATAATTACTATATAAGTGGACTCTGCACTCACATTTGTTATCTTTGTTCTATAAGTAGCAATGTACAGTAAATAGTTTACATTTTGTATTGATATTAGAGTGAATTACAAAAAGGTAGTAAAGATATATGTTCTTTTTATATTATAATTAAATATGAGTTATTAACATTTTTAAAATGTAATATTTTACACTTGCTATTTTAATTTGCTTTTAAATCATAATATATAAACCAACAGATCATGTTATTACCCTTAAATGTAATACTATGTCTAATGTTTAAAATATGAAACCAAATATTATTGCTGAATATTAATTTGTCATGTTATACACTTGTAAAATATGCTGGTGTGCAAATATTGTTTTTGAAGCTACGACCAAATGTACAGTTTCAAAAATGTCATAACTTGCTTAAAAATAATAATATCAATAAAATCCTGTGAGATACCTTCGATAATAATCTCAATTTTTAATTTTACCAAGGTTATTCTAATTTTAAAAATAACAGATTAAATAGATTAATGTTGACACAAAATTTGCTATCTAGATGAATATGGCTAGGTCATTTTATTCTCTTTTATCCAGCAAAATGTATTTTAATTCTTCTCAAAAACAACTGGGAATTCGTAAATTTAAAAAAATCGGTATGATTATAGAATTTATTTGCTTAATATACTTATCCATTGTTGTAGCATGGTTTATTTATTTTGTTTACAGATCTTCAAAATGCCATGTTTGCACATGAAATTAATGATAAAATTAGTATAAGCCATTTTCGTGGGTAAATATAAATTTTAAATTATAGATTAATGTAATATAAGAAGTAACTTATTGGCATGGCCAGAGAGTGTTTTTAATTTTAAGAAAATTATTGCTATAGTCTATGAAAGTTACTGCAAATACTAATTTGTATAGCCATACAGGAACTGAAACCTAAAATAAAACTGGGACATCAGTATACTAACTTATGTCTTATAGGAGATCCAAGTTAACCAGTCTGTGTAAACAAATTATCAACCTCCCCGCCAAAAACTGAAGACACTTATGTAACAACTAACCTATTTTGGTACCCATTTAAATTGAAACATTTTAAGTTATTTGATTCAGTTTTTACTATCACAATTTACGGTTATTTATTGTAAAAGTATTAATATCAAATGTTTGTAACTTGGATCGACTTGCTTTATTAGTGCTCAGATAATTAAAATTAATTACATTTTTTTTTTAAATCTAAAATATTATTAAATTTTAGATTCTGAGCGGAGCGAGGAAGCTAGTGGTTTTACAAAGGTGTTTATTTTTTTTTTATATCCTGTATACAAAATGTCTACAAGAAGGAGTGCTTTGAACACATAATACTTTATCTTTTAGCAAATTGTTTCAATTGGTACTTTAGAGAAATAATTTTTCGATTTAATTAATGGTTATTTAATGCCATGGGAAAAACCACCGAAAAATTAGGAAAGACCACTAAAAATGGGATTTTAATTTCTAAAGCTTTGTTTATCACATAGAAACGAATAAAAAATAATATTATAATATTAATTCAACTTACATGATATAATAAATAATAACAATATAAAATATCCAGACTGAAAAACCGTCTACTCTCAGAATCGTTTTTCTTATACTATGATATTATATCATTGAATAGAAGTTTAATATAATCCATTATACAATGACCCACTTGTAACCTACTGTACAGCAGAGCGACATCCACTTACCCGCTTTTTTTCAATTGAAAATGTATATAAAGATAAACATTAACCATATTATACTTAATAGATCAAGATCATTAGGATCAGCAGCAATGAGTTTATGCTATTTGGCAATGGGAGCAGTAGATATATTTAGTCCTAAAAGATTGGGATTATTGAAATGTTGGGATGTAGCAGCAGGAATTCTAATTATCCAAGAAGCTGGAGGCATTGTACTCGATTCAAAAGGTAAATATTCTAGTAAAACATAATAAAATATATTATGTTAAATGTATAATATGATTATTGATTACCTACTTCCTTTTTCTAGGAAGTCAATACAACGACATTATGAATGCTGATATATTCGCTGCTTGTACAAAAAAACTAGCCGAAAATTTTTTAAAATTAAAAAATGCCAATATTTAACTTGTAATTTTAATGATTTAAAGTAATAAAATACCTATACCAATAAATATATAATATTCATTATTACTTGAGAAGTAACATTTTAACCCGTCAACTTGAAGGTAATCTAAATAACTATGGACAATGAGTAAGGACTACAATTTAAGTTATATTTCATAAAGTGTAAAGTTTAAAGTTCTTGTCAAATTCTAATAGAAAATATTTATAAGAAACACTGTAAATTAATTGTTGTACATTTTGAAGGAATGTTGAAATCACCATTACATCTATAATAATATCCATGCAACTATCATAATTACTATCAGCTAAAGGGGATACAGACGTTTCATCCCAGTCAGTTATTAAAATAGGACATTTGGCCCCAAGGAGTTATGACATTATTTAGCCACAAGACATAGTTTACTTGAATTATTTAAAAATTTAATTTGCCTAATGAAAATTATATTGTAGGGAATGAATTTAAATTTGATAATTATACTGAAATTTAATATTTTTGAAAAAGAATAAGTAATTTTATTGTAAATAATTTTAATAATATGGTACCTATCGACATTTTAAATTTAAAACAAATGGTGACTGAAATATCAATAACATAAACACGTAATTATGTAAATGTACCTATTTGTACTGTACCAAAATGTATTATATTTTTAAATAGTTTACTCCGATTATTTAAAAATTTAATTTCACTGATACAAATATCATATATTTTATATTAGGTAAAACATTTTTATATAAATTACAGGTACTGACATTTTACGTTTTATAAAAATAATTGTAATTTAAAATAAAAAATAATAATAGTGATTTAAAATACCGGAGGACAAAACGTACTATTTTAATAATTAACGGGGACGAAATGTCCAAAATTACAGCTAAAGTCATTGATTAAATAGTTTATATTTTTATTTATTTATTTGTATATTTAATCAATGCTAAAGGCTATCCGAATTTTCAAAGATTCTTACATATGTGTACACTGATTATCACTTGTTAAGTTGTTAACTTCTAGTATTTAAGATTACATGATTAAACAGTTAATGGTAAATATTATTATTAGGCATTAAAATAGGTTATATATAAAAATTTAAAATATAGTAATATGCTAATATGAAAAAAAAGGATTTTGCTTTAGCGATGAATAGTTTTCATCTAAATTGTTATTCTTTAAGAGGACGCTACAGCCACAAGTAGGGATCGAAACCGTTTCAAATTTTAATGGTTACGGTTTTCTACATTTTCTGGTTTTGGTTTAGGTTCTAAGATGGGTTTTTCAATTTTTTTTGGATTTGGTTTCGGTTTCAAAAAAGGTTTTTCAAATTTATCGGTATCAAGAACGGTTTTTGAAAATTTTCTGTTTTTGTTTTTGATATTTTTTTTTCTTTACCGAATAACTACAGACCCGATTTTTACTATCTATTTACTATTTAGGGCTGAAAGCCCTAACATATGTCAGATTTGTATAACTGGTGTAGGTACATACAGTATAGCAAATTTAAGTTCAGCAGAACTAATTTTGTGTTGTTAACTTAAATTTGTTATACCTACTTTTGCATACGTCATACAACATGGTTGAGATCATTATTCGATTATATTAATATTTAATTGTAATTTACAATAACATCACACTATATTACAGTACAATAAAACTGTTGTTATGTGATTAATGGTTATGATATTTGAACAAAATATTAATTTAAATAAATATTAAAAAAAGAGTATTGGACTATTGAAAATATTGTTATTTAAAAAGCTTACTGTTAAGATTCAAATATACATTATAAGATTTGGTACACACATTTCTAATTCAGGTGATTCTGAGGAAAATGATGATTATGACATAAGCAATTGATGACTGCGGGACGAACGCGGATGAGTCGAATACAAAACAATTGTAATAACATTAATAAATAATAATATACACAAATACATAAAATAAGAAGAATACAGACGTGCATAGCCGCATAAATAGGGGCGAAGAAATAACAATAATTGTTATTTTTTTGCACCTATACATACAATTATTGTGATATTTGTATTATAATTTTGAATCAGTGAATATAGTAATGGTTTTAAAAAATGTAAATAGAATAATATTCGTATTACCTATTAATACTAAGTAATAATCAGTTATATCATCGGTATTCAAACGAAATATTTTCTTTGCATAAAATACTCGTTTTAACTAGAATTATAGATAATATAGGTAGGTAATTAACTTTATAAAATTCGAAGAAACCAATATTAGTTTTAAATTTCAATAGGTTTAAAGAACGGTTTTTTAAGATTTTAGGTTTCAGTTACGGTTTATTAACCGGTGTTTTAAAGCTTTTGGTTTCGGTTTTGGTGTTGAAATATGAAAAAACAGCGGTTTTAACCGGTTTCGATCCCTGCCCACAAGTATTGTCTCCGTCCTAAAAATGTACAACATAGCAAAAACTGTTATAGAACCCCTCAGTGGTAGTGGCTGTTGTGATAGTTAAAACTCCAAATTGATATACAATATAATTTAGAACAGTATTTATAAAATATTGTTTTTAATTTTTTGATATCACTCATACAAAAAAATGTTTATGTTATTTAAAATTCATTATTTTTAGTGTTTTTCAAACTTGAATAACTTTTTTTGTAGTTCCGAAACCGAAAAAATCATAATATTTCATATCCAAAATTCTTGTTTATGTGGTGAAAATTTTGTTTCTAATTTATGACTGTAGTCTTCTTGGTTCTTTCTCTCGCAAAACAGCTTTTGCCATATTTTACATTTGTAAGATGGAGACAATACATGATGGTGTAGCGTCCTATTAAAATTACAATGTACCTAATTACTAATAAGGTTTAACTTTTATAATTTATTTATTATATAAGGTAATAGATAAAAGTTTAAAGTGCAAACAATTAAATAAGTAAGTCATCATATAGACATCTTTCTTAGCAGTAGGTTAAGTTTACTTACTAATTAAACCTATAAAATACAATTTCAAATTGTACCCAGGTATTGTAATTTGTAATGGAAGTTAATAAGATTGATGATATGTATCCTTACATAAGACCACTATTACTATTAAATTACTCATTAGGTACAATATTTTAAGTTCTTAAGAGGCTTAAGAGGATATCTTACTAGCATATTTAGCCATTAATGCAAATTGATTGAGTTTTATTTATTCTTTTACTTTGATGTCCATGTGTTATTATTAAAGTTAATATTGAGTTAAATTTTTAAATACTTTCATGTTGTTATAATAGAGGTACCTATTATAGGTATTGAATTAATAAGGTACAAAAAAAAAAATAGATTTCATCTAATACTGTAATGCTAAGACTTAAATAAGTGTACCTACCTACCTTCCTACAGTCTTGTAAAAAATACTTCTGAAAAAGTATTAAGATACTAATATTAGTATTTGAATAAAGTATTAAAAATACTTTTAAAATACTATTATAAAAATGTATCTTACGAAAACTCAGAAAGTATTTAAATACAAATACAAGTATTTTATTTTAATTTTATGCTATATAATGTATATATATTGTACATCAGTATAGCTTATTGGGTATTATGTTACTACTTACCATAGATTTTAACAATTACTATAAACATGTCTGTTGTCTGACTATTTAGAGATAAATACATGCTCACATATTTTATTTTGCATTTAGATATATTTCAACTATTATTGATTAAATTTTAATGAAAAAAATAAAATAAAAAGTGATATTAACTACTAATAGGTATGGAACTATTTTAAAATTATTAGATTTTCAGTTTTCTTACAAAATTCCAATACAGAAACTATATAAAATTTGATGTGGCATTTTTTTTAATTTTAAACATTGTTATTACCTATTTTTACTATACAAAAACATAATATTAGTTTTCAACGAAAACAATATTATTTTTATTGATGTCAATTTCTTGTGAAAAACTATAAATTAAAATAAAATGGACTTTATGGTATTTTAATACAAGTACTTACACTTTGTTAAAAATACTTTTAAAAAGTATTCAAAATACTTAAAAAAATACATTAAAAAATTGTATTTAGAATACCATACGAATACTTCAAAAAGTATTTAAATACAAGTATTCAAATACTTGTATTCGAATACTTTACAAGAGTGCCTACCTACCAACTGAATTTGTATTCAAATACTTTACAAGAGTGCCTACCTACCAACTGAATTAGTATTCAACGATTTTCCAACAAAAAACACCGATAATTTAAATATTTTTGAAATATTTCTTAAATGTTCATAGGCAATTGGTTTTAATGGGAACATTTAACTATTAATTGTATTTTTATATGGTCATGTACTGAGTAATTGAAATTGGAATGTACTTGAATGCCTGGAGGTGGAAATGTTTGAGTGCCCTGCTGCATGTTAGGAGATGCCGGCGCACCCGATTGACCTGGCGAATAATTTTGTGGTGGCAGAGGCTGAGGAGCGGTAGGTGGCTGTGGCTGTTGAACTTGTGGCGGCTGTTGTTGTTGGTGTTGTTGTTGTTGTTGCTGTTGTTGTTGTTGTTGTGGTTGTGTCGGAGGCGGAGGTTGATGATTGGGCCCCGGAGGTCCCATCGAATTTGGTGAGGGGCTGGCCATTTCCGAAAGCACCTGAAAACACAGAATATTTAACTACCTGATTGGACGACGCAACAAACTATAGAGCGAAAATATATCAAAATATAATCAACAGTAATGTTTTTACCCAAAGCCTCTAAAGAACGCAGATGAAAATGACCGTCGAAACCTAACAATTAACAAAATCAATAGAAAACATAAATTGTTTAAAGATAAAAAAAAGTCAATCGTGAAAACCACTGCATAGTGTATAGTGTATACCGCAAACGAACCGACTACCGAGTGACACGATAAACAAAACACAAGTTCAGTGTTTTTGTTCAGCTACATAAAACTACTTTTATCGTCGGCATACAGACAACACTGGTACACAACTTACTATCAGAATTAAATATAATAATATTTAAGCTTCTCTTTTCAAGGCGCAACGGAAAATGACTAAGTGACTGTGAATTTGCCTATCTAAAATTTGTTTAGGCACTACAAATTTAAAAGTACCTATCTTATAATTAATTATTATTAGCAGCAGTAGTTTTGGACTTTTTGGAGTCTGTGTAATCAAATTAGAATTGTGATTTTAGTAAATAGGTACGAGAGTAATATTATATTATATTATATTATTAAAAAATGTGGCAGTAGGTAGTAGGTACCTACTCTGCATCTCTACTGTAGAGTAGGGTGGCCAGATATAAAATACGAAAATACGGGACAAAGATAAGAATTTTTTTATTATGAATAAACATCTATTTTTGATGAAATGCTTGAATATTTAAAGTCTTAAATCTTAATTGATTACTAACATACCTATACATATTTAACTTACTAAAATAATCTATTTTGGATATTTTATTACAATTGTCAATTTTAAGAATTATAAATATTTTTTTGTACTTATAAGTATAAACTAGGTATGATAACTATAATATAGGTAGTGTAATATGAATATATGATTTAACTGGTGTTAGAAGTCGATGCTTGGGTATTTGTAAGTATTACAGTCTTAACTTTCGTTAAAAACACATTTTCTTTTAGGCATAGTTATTATTTTAATTATTATTTATTAGTTCAACTGATATGATAGATTGTAAGATATACACAATAAATGTTCACACATGAAATGCTAAACGATAACTGGCTAACTGACTAACTGAGAAACTGAGGATATATAAAAATTATAAATATTTTCACCGACACTACGAGAGATATCATAATCTATATTCTATTTACAAATAATATATACACATATTGTGCTATAATATTATTATGTCTCATCGTCGGTCGCTACTTCGTGATCGTAATCATCTGTATACGGGCTGTGATCCATTACGACGAAGACCAAAAATAACTTTATATTCGAATAACCGAATTCGATACTTACAAATCGGTTATCGACTTATCGTAATAATATGGCAAAAACACCATTATTCTACAAAATATGCATAATTATATACGATATACATTTACTCCGTAGACCGTAATTGATATTTAATACAGATAGATGAAGATTACCTATATTTTTAATATTTAATTTTTTTTTTTACATATTTTCTATTGTATGAAAAAAACGGGACAATATAGCGTCCCGGAAGCATATGTCGGGACAACGGGACAGACTTTTGAAATACGGTACTTTCCCGTATAATACAGGACGTCTGGCCACCCTACTGTAGAGTGAGTTACCGTAATAGACGTGTTAAATTTGAATTCTGCAATGTAAATAATTGCATACGAAAAATGATTCTGAACGAAGACGGTCTACATATATATGTGTATTAGTATATTTTATGGCATTCATACTATTAAAACAATTTATTTTATTATTTGTAGGTAATAAATAATAATAGCTACACTAATACAGTAGGTTGAATTATTTTTTGCCAATAACATTGCATTGTTGAAAAATGTCGTTGTGTGTATAATAATATATACCTACTTAATAATATATTTCAAAAGCTTAAAGTACCAACTCATAATATTTTTAAATTACAACAAAATGACAAAATTTGTTCATATATCTTATATCTATATATATTTAGCTTAAATATCTAATTTTGTCAAAATTTAACTTAAAAATATCTATGAAAAAAATTGAACTTGAATATTTTTGTTCTAATATGAACAACTTACGAGTAGGTAACCTTGTATTACATTTTCAACTCTTATCTAGTTATCTATTAAAATTTAATATTTTATAAATTTTTAACTACAAAATAATATGCATATGTTCGTGATTTTAACGAATTTTGTCAACAATTGAACTTCGAATATTTATAAAATAAAATTGTACCACTGAATCTTTAAAATATTTCTCTAATATCCACATAAGGGCTAAGAGGAACCTTGTACTAAATTGTTGACAAAATAATTTAAGTACCAAAACATTACTAATGAATATGTGCTAATTAATCAAACTGGCCCAATATTAATGCAGTATTTTACTAAGTACCTACTTCGTATTAATATATGTTTTAAATTAAAAACTAAAATAATTATATTTCTTAATTTTTAACAATCTTACTAAAAATATGATCAAGGAGTTTAATTAGGTACCCTGGTACCTATAGTAGTTTTGTTTTAAATAGATAATAGCATATATGGACAACATTTCTAAACGAGATTAGTCGGTGTTAAGGCTGAGTGTGAAACGAGAAATTACTACAATTAAAAATTCGGAATCGTCTCATTTGCAGTAGGTGAGTTGATTCCCGAGACCTACTTTATGTATTAGTTGCGATTCCCGAATCATTAAGATGTACCTACGTACGAGTTGATTCCCCCTTGTTGTAGGTATACCAAGGACGTAGGTTTCTTCTAGCCCAAAACTGGTGGCGGAAAATTCAGAATCTAGGTCTCTCAGTGATTTATAAAGACACTAGTTCAGAAAACGAGACCGGTAATTTTTTGAAATTATTTTTTGGAATACCCTTTTTAAATCCAATAGAAGTTATCGATTGCTTTACAGACGAGTTGATGGAAATTCGTCCAACAGATGACGAAAGAATTGTAGAGTTTATGGACTACGTATTTGATAATAATTATATTTCCCCAGAAGCATGTTTTCCACCAAGTATATGGGCTCAATTCTCCACTACTTTAAACAGAACTACGAATAGTTGTGAGTTTTCATTCGAAACTCAACAGTTGTTTTTTATAGTGGGCAAATATAGTGCCCAAATATTTTATATTTATACATTTATAGATGAGCTTTTAGAAGTGCAGTCGGGAACGTATAAAAAATGCAGAATCAGTGGGACTAGAAAAACCAAGAAAAACAAATATTTTTGAGAGAAGTGTTGTTACGGTGTGCTGGTAATCATTACCAGATACCAATTTTTAAAAACAGTGTGTTTTACATTTTTACCAAATAACTAAATTTTTTTAATAATATTTTTTTTACCTAATCACTACATTTTTGAATAATTATTTTAGATTCTGAGTGAAACGATGAATGTATTGATTTTACAATGATGTGTGTTTTTTTATTTTTTTTTTTTTGTGTCTGTGTACACGATAAGTAGTCGAAATAATGCTTCGATTTTCGACTTCAGTATCTTGTTCGATTGGAAAGTGAATATCGTTGGTGCATTGGGGAGGTCAAAATTTAAAATTCCAAGTACTTTTCAAAAGCACCAAGAAAAACAAAAGAAAAATTAAGGAAAAACGGGAATTTTTACGCAAAATCGATTTTTCAGAAAATTGAATTTGGTTTTTGGTGTAACTTTAAAACAAATGACCGTAGATACATGAAATTTTCCCTGGTTATTTATATATGCATTTTCTATACACGATAACATTTTCAAAATATTTTGATTTATTTTGAACTGTTTAGGGACATTTTCATTTTTCGTTTTTTTTTAGTTTCTTTTTTAGAAATTTATTTGTTGGCTAAAAAAACTTGAAAATTTAATAGAAGGCTCCTAGTATATTTTTTCAAAGGCAGATGAAAAATATTAAAAATCGTTAGACACAGTTTTTTTTATAAGCATTTGAAGTTAAAAAATTGACAAAATATGGAAAAATCATGAAAATTAGCAAATTATTTTGAGTTAAGAATTCGTAAAAATTTTTCTTTTTAAATCTAAGATTTGAAAATGTAATACAAGATTACTCGTAAGTTTTTCTACCTTTATCAATAAAAAAATCTCTACCGGACAGTTAAATTAAATTTTTATGAGCATTTGAAATTCAAATTTTTACAACATTGGATGTTCACTCGATTTCTCATGTAGCGATTTCCTTATTTTGTTGTTATTCATAAACGAATAACTATAGATACATGAAAATTTCACTGAATGTTTATATTAGCATTTCCTATACACCATACAATTTTGATAATATTTTGACTCTTTTTGAACCGTTTACGGATATTTTCCTTTTTCAATTTTTTTATTTTTTTTTCTATGAATATCAATTAAGTTTTATCTGTTGGGCCAAAAAGTGTAAAAATTTAATACAAGGCTCCTGACATATTGTTACAATATCAGTTGAAAAATATTAAAAATACATAGGCACAATTTTTTTTTATAAGCATTTAAACATCGAATTTCGACAGAATTTTTCAAAATCTCGAAAATAATTAATCATCGTAATTAATAAATTATAAAATTTTCAGTTTTTATAGCTAAGGATTGAAAATTTAAAACAAGATTCCACGTAAGTAGTTAATTCTCTTACCGAAAAATCTAAAAAATATACAATCACAGTTTATTTTTATAGTCATTTTATGTTCAAATTTGGCCGAAATTACATATTAAAAAACCTAGTTATTTTGTTGTGATTATATAATATTATTCGTGGGTACCTACTTGAAACTTCTAAAGTGTACTATTATATATCTATGATAGTATCAGGGTTTGTTATTGATGTTGATGTATAACGTGTTATAAGTACCTAATGGATATTGTGATAATGTGATATGATTAATTTGGAATTTATTATAGGTCAATTTTTTTTTTAATACCATAGATATGTATATAATTTGTCTTAAACCTAGACTGACATACCGTCTTCGCTCAGAATCG